GTCTCTTGGAGGAGAGACGAAACGTTTCATTAGAGAGAACCCGTCCAGAAGACCTATACAATTTTTTTCTTTTTGTTAAAAATATACATTTTTTGTGTTGATAAGCCTGAGTGGTCTGTTGAGTGACTGTTGTATTTGTTTAAATAATTGTTATGGGCAGGTTACAATATATATTTTTTTCTTTTTTGTCATAATCATGTCTTGTAGTTATTTGACAGGAGTTTTACTTTTAAACTGTAAGTGTATTTAATTTAGTTATAATGGAAATACAATAAATATTAAACCAAGACTTATAATAATTATCATGTTGATCCATACATTGGTAATGTCTGACTGGGTCTCGTGTCTCTTTATGTTCAATAAATTGGGCTCCGAGGTCAAAAAGGTTAAGAACCTCTGGCTTAGATTTAACTATGTGGCTGAATTAACAACAAAATGCAACAATATGATTTTAAACAAATATATGTTTCACTCCAGGCTGTTCAAAACTGAAACTGTTTTATTTCAAGTTGTTTTCTAAATGAGAAATTCCTGATTGAACAGAGGAATAAAACTCAAAGACCAACTCACCCGTTTATTTTGTAGAATAATTTGGTGTACTCTTCTTCTGTCCGGTTGATTCTGATGAACAAAAAACACAAAACGTCTCTTAAAAACTGCCACTTAATCATCTTTTTAAACTGTCGTAGTGCAGGGCTATTCAACTAAACTGCTCTGGGGTCCACAGTTAATGCAGAATAACGGCACAGGGGCCGAACCCAGCAATAAAATCATTTTGTAAATAAACCAAGTTTTACAAAGATCTGTTACCTTTGGATTAGTTTATTTTGCTGCATTTAATCATGAATAAAACATACAGAACCATATGTAATAAATGTAGTTATAGTAAAACAATATCAAGAACAAAAACAACACTTTCTGCCTCCTATTTAACACAAATAATATTTTGACATATTTGACCTGACAAATTTTTAAACCAATTTTATTTTCACTTTCATAGTTTTATCTTTAACTGCTTGTAGTTTTATCTGTCTTCAATGTTCATAGACATGGTTTTTACCAGCTTCTAGTCAAGGTTCTGATGGTTCTGTAGACACCAAACTTGTCTATGTCTAGCTAAAAGAACTTTAAGTAATTAAAGTAGAAAACCGGGGTTTGGACTTAAGAGATGAATGAACCAATTGGTGGGCCAAATTTTGGTCACTTGCGGGCCGGATGTGGCCCGCGGGCCGCCAGTTGAATAGCCCTGTCGTAGAGGTTTTTATGACAGCGAGACAATTCCACTGAACTGAAGCGAACCTCAACTTGTCACACGAGTACGAAAAGTTTTCACAACAACCTGTGATGACTTTGTCTCTTAACAGATTTCAGCTGAATGTTTGAGGGTTGTATCATTTTATGAGTTTCATTGTGTGTCATTGTGTATCGTGAGTGTTGTCATCATCCGACACACTGCACAGAAGGTAAAGTTGTGACAAACAGAGCTGCAGGTGAAAGACCGGATCTTGTTGAGCTCTCTGACCTGATGGGAACAACTCGAGCTCCTCCGCTCTCCAGGAACTTGACGTAGGAGGCGGCGATGTAAGAAAAGCCTCGAGCGAACTGGTCTCCTGGGAGCTTCTCCTGCGCCAACACGCCTGAGGAGGACACACAACGCACAGCTTATTTACCCACTGAGACCTGACTCAACAGGCCTGTTTTTAGACTGTGGGAAGAAAACAGACACACACAAACACTCCAGACCCACACAGGATTTGAACCTTCTTACTGTGAGGCAACAGGTTCTAACCACTGATCCACCGTGGAGCTCTTCCTGTGTCAGACTGTGGTCATCAGTCTCACCCTCTTCTGTTTCTTCTCTCATGTTTTCATGTGTGCTCTGCAGGGTTTCTGTTTTTACCTGTTCTTTAAAGTTCACACTTTAACCCACGACCCTGTGACAGAACCTGTGACAGAACCTGTGACAGAACCTGTGACAGAACCTGTGACAGAATAGAACCTGTGACAGAACCTGTGACGGACCATTTGTGCCAAAGATCGACTGCAGGACTGTTGTAAGGTGACGTTATTTAAGCCAGGTGTGTTACGTGTTGAATCATGGCTGGTTTTAACCTCCTGTAAGGCAGAGTGAGTCGAACAGGAACAGGTGATGCAGAGGAAGTAAACAGCGCTGAGTCATGGCTGCACCTCTGACCACGATGACTCGTCTGCTTCAGGTTCGAACTTCTGCAACGATTCAGAAACATTCATCGGGCTGCCTTTTGTAAAAGTACAGTCAACAATTACCACCGATATTTTTGTTTTATTTAGTCTTTTATAAGAAAAAAAGAACAGATTTATTTTTCAAAGTCAGTTTTTCACCATATGATTCATACATTTATAATTG